CCAATACATAAATGATATCGCCTGGAACCCTCGTTCTATGTTTAACTTGAAGCAGATTCACCATAGATACGTGGTATTTCAGTGTTTGCGACAAGAACGAATATGGGACTCAAAACGATTGAAGTATATATGAGAAGATAATTAGGGAAACTGAAGTTCGCGATAGCGCGTGTTTTATATCATTGCAATCGTTTTTTTACTATTTATTAAATACCTCTCATGTGTTTGCTATTATCATCGTTATAACATAAAACATCACCACTCCATATTTGTGGCTGTTTTGACATCTCGACTCCTCAAAACAAAAATGGTGATGCCATAGTCGAAGAATTCAATCTTCATATGTACATGACTATTACGGTTAGATTGCTCTTGCACGTTCTGGATTTTACTTGATTTTTTGCGGCAATTATGGGGAGTGGAGTATTTATCTGATAGTTTGAACATTGTGGTTTATTTGTACTTTATCATTTACCAAGTTAACATATCTTTCATCAAATTACATTGATGGTGGTTGGAAAGCACGTGCTAGTGACGCCATTATGAAATATGTGAGTTAAAAAACAATGTTCTATGCTGATGGGTAGTGTTCAACTCCCTCGATTTTCATTTGATAACGCTTTATTTTTCGACGTGGATGGGTTTATGTTATGCATATTTAACGTCATAAATTTCGTATATATATCATTAGATCGATAGTTTTTGATCTAAACTTGAGTCTAGACGCAGTGAGTGGTTCCCAACCGATGGGAAATTTGGCGGCTGCAGGTTGGAAATAGAATGCTCCTCTAAAAAATATACGCACAACAACACAAATACTAAATATTACACAATGAAAATCACAATATATGCCATGAAGCGAAAATGACTCTCATTCAATTAATGGAAACTTTACTAAAATATCACGTTGTTCGCCATGATATTCTGATCGTGCTACGTAAATCATTTTGATTTTTGGCCGGCCGATAATTAACAACCTCACAGACATGTCTCGAACGAGCACCAATGCTTTAAATGTTACGCAAGAAGATTTTCGTTGCTGAGCCTCAAAACAGAACAGTTTTTATTTAAATGTCTCAGAGATATTGGGTAGGCAATAGGCATGCGCTTTTGACCCGTCCCTTCTGCTAAATTGTTAATAAAAAGGTAATGGCTTATGTAAAAATAAAGTACGATCATAGTCTTCTCGGCTACTTTTCAAGTTTGTAATGGAAAATTTTGAGCAACTGCCGCAATGCATTTTTTGCACTAAGACTATCTCCAATGGTTATATGCAGCCCTATCAAATGAGGTAATGGGAAATAAAAACTCAGCCTAAATCTAAAGTGGGAAATTGAGATAAAAAGGTTGGAAACCCCTGGCCTAGAGGGTTTGTTTCACAGAAAGTTTTATAATACCATTTTCTTGCGTTAAATACCTCGATTGGTTGGTTGTTGTCTTCCATAGATACATAACCCGTTATCTGGTTTGGATGAAATTCAAGTATAAATCTTAGATATATATTCCATATATTTCATTCTCACGCAATTTAAGCAAGATATGTATGTATATTGGTATCAGTCCCGATGTGCATGCATTTTATAAATTTTGTAAAATCTGCAAAGCATATTCAGGCTTCAGTTTTAAGTAAAACAATTCCTATTGGCCGAACTAAAAGTTATCAGTATCAATGTTGTAGAACAGATAGTCTTGTATCGTCAATGTTTCATCATCGATCAATCCATTGTGGGCACCATTGAGCTTAATTTTTAGGTTCAAGTTGACTTCGTGACTTCGTGAAGTAAAATACTCTTCTGAAATTCATTGCCCTGGGTTAGAATAAATTTACAGAAATTACCAAATTTGCGATTACAATTTAAATTATTAAATACGGCCATTATCAATGAATCACTACTTGTGAGCAATGTCGATCTAGATTCTCGACGTCTCAATCGGCGAAATTGCATCTCGAGACCAAAGTACTGCTACGACAAAGCGAGTTTTCATTTTAATAACTCCAATCTGTATCTTTCGTGCGTATAAAGCATGGGCGGTAATGTACGCTTACGCTTCATAGACCAATTCTCGCGTCTGATTGAGTGATAATTTCGTCAAAATTGACCTACATTTTACAGGTATATGGGCAAGTCTGAACACGGCGTTATTGTTTTGGAATGGTTATATAATACAAATGGCAATCAATTTCCAATGCGGAAACATGTGCTTCTCATCACAAGGGAAATTTGGCCAATGTTGGTTTCTTTGCTTTTATTTCATTAAATTTCTTGTTTACAAATTTGCGACAACAAATTAAAATGCGTCAAGTATGTAGTAAGATGATATCATCGCTATTTTGGATTTTCCTCTTTCCACAGCGACTGTGAATAAACTTTCAACCCGACATCAAAATTTATTAAAGTTGTGAATTTTCAGCTTTAATTTCATGTGTGTGTCGAATCTCTCCGAAGCAATTTAAGAAATAGTCATCGTTTGATGGATTACTTTCTTTGATAGCATATTCCTGCTGTGATTTGGTGATGCCATGACGTGAAAATCCTAAATATTTATGATTCTCATTGGAATTCTGAATATGGCGGTTAAAGAAAATGACCCGATGACATTATTCGTTTATAGTGATCATTCAAAATTGTCAAAATTCAATCTATTTACTTTTACTGATCTGATCTACTTTTATCAGAAATTTCACTATTTGAATCCTCACTTCAATGCAATACAACCCTATAACATAAAATTGTACCAATTGCAGTCAATAACACAGACACTGCTCAATTCGTTATTTAATTGGAAACTAGCCAGCTCTGTCAATGCAATGTGATAGAAGACACAAAAACTTCTGTCCCAAATTTTGTGTTGTACGAAAGATAAAATCATTGGTAGTCCACCTCCTCGAAAGTTGTATTGTTACAATTGAACGTTTAAATAAACCAGCTTATTTCAATTTAAGCTGTGTGTTACACGATGTTTTAATATTATTAGCCAGTTATGCTGCGACTTGAAAGTCCCTCCATACGAAGTAAGGCGTATTTTCATTAAATATTGGTCATCAATGTCAGATTTTGTATCATGTGACAGACAACCTCAGGCCTGGGAAACTCCAAGGAGTGAAATTGTTGAAATTGGTGATATTATCGTGTCAATCAGCTCGTTAGTTTAGATATATATAGAAAAATACAAATAGCACTTGTGCCACGCTCGCGCATATGCACTCGCGACATAGAAAATATATGGCTTGTACATTGAATGTTTTTTACAACTGCATTTCATAAACACGAACACACAAAAACGCAAAACATAGCAGAGAGAGACTGTGAATCTGAATGAAGTATTCTTTAACATCGCTAATACATGTTGTGTAGTTGATACAAGAGCGTTTTGGGGGGATTGGCAATTTTTCCTTTGTTTAATGACGTGATACGACTCATTTTGCTTCGAACAAAACCAGATAAAAGTATGTGTATGTATGTATGTTTATTCGTCTCGTAAAAGCAATATTAAAGAAGAATTAGTAATTATAAGTAGCCACTGATATCTAACATTATCTTACGGAATCGCTCTACAGACGTACTTTGCCGTAGAAGTTATCCAAGGCAAATAAGCGCGCATTTTCATCCATCTCGTTTGGTTGCTTTGGTGAAAGGATTATTGATAGCAAGCTAGTAAACGTCTGGTTTTCCGTAAATCGTTCGAGAAGAGAGCAAAATGGTATTGGAAAGGCCTATGAATTTATGTCTTACTGCAAATGCCACAAAGTTGCATTAGAAAAGGTGGGAAATTTAGAGGGAGGGGAATGAACCGTCAACAAGATTCCAAATGTGGAAAAAAAATTCTCACAAATACGTTTGCCATCGCCTCCCAACAATCAAATAAAATGATAAAGTGGTGATAAATCGTGTATTTATTTCATTTCCTTGTTCAGTTGCATTGCGTATTGTCGATGACGCCATTAAAATGCGTCAAAATCCTCACGTGATTGGTCTGGTGACCCGGTCGTAGTTTTCCCACCATTCTGTTGTACTCTTTATGATGTACTCCTTTGTGTTGCCGTAATAAAAAAAAGTATGTAGCATTTTTACTTCTACGGCCCTTATTTGATCCGTTTTTCATTTAAAGGAGGATCCGTAGTTTGCATCCTTAACCGCGGGTGTCAGGACTTAGTCATCACAGACCGCACGATAATGTTTTCGATAAATCAAAGTTACTAATATTTTGAGGGAGTTACGAAATTTAATCACCATCCATCATAAAGCGACCTGATTGTGACAAAACATAAAGCACTGTAGCCTAGTATTTTTTAATAATGGAATGAATTTTTTTACATTGTGACGTCAGTGTAATTCAAAATTTACATAATGCCGCGTTCTGGCAAATTCCAGGATCAACTCGCAATAAGGGGGGGGGTTGTAATTTGTAACTGACGTAAGTTCATTTCATGCTGGCTATATGAGCTAAGAACATGAACGTGCTCGATTGTAATACATTGTTACTGCAAGTTCTTATCATATTTCATCATTGTCTTTCATTCGGTGATTAGTGTCCTGAATCGGTAAATATCTCATGTTGAAAATCAAGGCCTACCACCTCACTCTAGTTGTAAGAAATTGATAAACTATTTTCCGATACGAATAAATATTTGGGTTTTTTTTCAAACCCCGTGGCTTGCCATATGTTATTGCCGGCTTGATCGTAGAAGCGGGCGAATGTATGGAACAGTAAAAATATTCTATTGCAAGATGATTTATCGTTGGTTCCTATTGAGTAGATATTAAAATGATGTAAACTTTATGAATATTTTTATTTGATCATCTCCGCTACTAAACTAAAAGTGTAAAACATGAATTTATTTCTCAATGTTCTACGATAGTTACAATCTTACTCGAAGTCATTTATATCCGCCCTTTCAAATTTATATTTATCTCGATGTAAAACTTACAAATTTTTGGGAACGCCTGAAAGATTTTTAACCTTTTGTACATTCACTTATGATGTAAATTTCATTTTAGAGACAAGGCGCCGCTACCACAGTATTCGTTGCTACTGCTCGTGAGTTGGAAGGTATTGGTGGAATGTATTTCAACAATTGTTATCGTTGCCAGACCAGCGAAACAGGGCAAAATAAAATTCTCGCTGGCAAATTATGGAAACTCTCTGAAGACTTGATAAACGAAAAACTTAAAGTCAAAGCCGACGAATGAATTCTTCCTTGAAGACGAACCATTTGATCCATGCATGTTGTACATATATGTACAAGCAAATTAGTTACGGCCTATTAATGTGTATCTCCATGAAATAGAGATTTTAATGCTGACATGGGTCAGGTTAACAGGTATTTTCACGGGGAACTGTTTGTTGATATTTATGATCGGAAGCAGTTATTTTGTATTTATAAAATTACTGCTTGATATGGGAACAGGGCTTTCTAGTCTCAGATATGATTTTCTGTGATGCAAACGGAGTTTGATTCAGTATTCGTTTGTTAAAAAATATGACGTAATAAATGAAATTGTGCAAAATCTATTTTATGATTATTGTGATGAGAAAAACGCCCGCAGACCGGTGTATGATTTCTTGTCGCCGTGTATGTTTTATTTCGATTGTATATATAAATACTTTTGGAATATTATGTATTCAAGGTAAAATTTCCCAAAATATTACGATGTTCCTTAAAAAGCTGTTGTTTTTTCTAAAATAACCATTTTTTTCATCTTCCTACTCGCAATACGGTATTCAAAAAAAAAATGAATACAACAAATGCTAAGCGTTTTGGTATCTGTTAGTGTTCGAATGCGGTTCGAAATACGCGAAAGTGAAACATTATTATAAAATGACGAAATAAACTGCTTTGAACTATCTGTTTTATATTATTTTTACTGGAAAAGAAATATTTTAGTACGACATCTTGTATATCGTTCCCAGTTGGAATTGTCTTGTAAAATGCCTTCACATAAATTTTCTCCCCGCGTATATTACATTGAAATTACAGATCAGTGATTTCCAACCTTTTTCGTCAAATCCCCCCCTCATATGCATAAACATCATTTTATCACTTTATCGGTTTTGTACAGAGTTTAGGTAGTTCATAATGTATGTATAAATAAGTAATATACTAATATTAAAGAATTGAGTAATATCAGTAATACAATACTACAGCGAATAAAATTCTTCCCTAAAAATTTCCTTCGTTGGAAAACGTGGTTATAAATGGATGTCATTCAGTATGTTTGATGTAGTGATATTCAGATAGACATTTTCACGCTATTGTCAGCTAGCACATATTAGGTTCTTATTGTGTATTCATTAGGATATTGGTATCAATGAGCGAATGTCAACAAACGACAAAATATAACATATTGCCGCATATATTGTTGTAACATTTACCTCCACATATAATATACAAACAATATGAAAGGGCATTCATACCATTTCAGCTATTCTGACAATAAAAAATGGCAAGTCCCAACGTTTGTTTGTAAACAGCTCTGTCTTCCTCTAATAGCAAGAGCGAATAGATGAAATCAATTCGGAATTGACTCACCTTATTGAATATGCCAAGAACAGCTGCATAACGCACACAACGGCGTTTCCTGGCTTTTTTCAAAATACCGATTCAAGGAAATTTTTATTGTTTTACTATGGTATTTACTTCTGAAATATGAATAAAACTGTCCATTTCGATGCAGTTGTATGTTACCCAATAGCGTATAGAATATCGGAGCTAGTTTCTATCCGGAAGTTATCGCTTGAATGCCATTTGCAGCATTTCATGCAGGCAAAATAGATGTGAATTGCTTTGTACATGAGAATATATTCCTCCACAATACAACTATCACAGAACAAATTTAAATAAAGAGTTTGAACTGAATTTCTCAAATTAAATTTTGGCAGAAAGCGGCTCTTTACATTGTCGAATGAGATTGTTCTCAATCGAAGGAATAAGCAATGGCAATGTGAAGGGAAATGTATAAGAAAATGATACTATGACCGACGTGGTACGGAAAGATTGTCTTTCGTATAGTAAGATGTGGTCTTCTGGTTCTGATGCCGAGTGAAAGGGGTTTCTACGAGCATAAATCGTCTATTTTGTAATGTACTGATATTGTAAAGATATGATGTTCTAGAAACATGAGCAATGGAAGTCCCTATACATACAAAACACGCGACTGCTTGGTCGAAAGGATTTCATTTTCAAATACTTTATGTATTTGTATTTCCCTGGTTAATTTGGGTTTAGTCAGGTATTTCCTTTGTTAGAATTATTGATATTAAAGATGTACCAATATCACTTTTTCGCCGATACAGATACCATCGAAAAAAAGCGGAAACCGACATTTCTAAAAGTCGATAACATGTAATAATTATCACCCTGAATGCACAGGATAAAATAATACAGTGAACATTATTTTAGCTTAGAGAACAGATATCATAGAACACAAGTATTTGATATTTGTGATTCAGATGCTAAATGGCGTGTCAATGAACTCAATAATAGCAGTTTAACGTGCTTGAAACTGTATCGTAAATGCCTTGAAACTTTTACATAGGCAAAGGTGGAATCGTGGTGTGCTATTAGATCGCTCAGTGCTGAAGCCCAGTAGTATATAATTAACGGATACCGCGAAAATGATCCCTCCACGGCAAAAAATATTTTCAGTTGTCATCATAACTAACTTATCGAACATTCTAGAATAGATCACATCAAAAAAGTTTAATATATCGAAAATATCGATTTATTTTTAACCGATATCGACAATAATGACCGATACCGATACAGACATCTCTAATCAATTATATAACTGGAATCTGATAAAATTTTTATTAATTTGTAGAAAAATCTTCTAATTTTATATAACATATCACAACTACACTCCCGAGTTATATAAAAACTATATTCTGCCACCTTGTAGATAAGTTGTTGTGCATACATACAAATTTTCGTTTATTTTATTCCGAAACCACCACCCTTTGCACCACAAAGCGCTGGCTATTCTATTTCCACCAAACATAAGTCAAAATCAGCTAGAGTTGAGGTTATTCCATTTTTTTCTGATATTATCGAAAATCTAAAGATGACAATAGAAATAAATTATTTTATGTAACCAGTGTATTCAGACATACACAGTAACAAGATATTTTATGTTGAAACATTACCTCGCTAAAATATATCAACTACTTAATTTTTGCTTACCTGCAATCGGAATAGATTGTGATATTGTATTTTGCCGCTTTTCAGTCCAAAATATACCCAAATTGAGTCGCTCTTCAATGATCTATTTTAATTTTTTACGCCGCAGTTGATCAGTCTGACACATAACACATGTTTATAAGTTACAAATAGTTTTGTCACTAATACCAAAATATCTACCACCCCCTAAATTTGAACCCCCTAAAATAAAAATAAAGTTGGGGAAAATACTGGCCCTGACACATTTAGTACCGTATCCCATCTATTTATAGTATACCATCCCGGGAAAAAGTTACTATAGTCGGCTGCTACTATGTTTGACTCGAATATCAGCGCCAACCACGCACGATTTCTACAACTAAGGCTATGCTTGAATCCCAATTCCCTCGGAAAGGTAAATCATATCTGAAAACCTGACTAAGTGCTTAACGACTGTTAAAATTTCAATTGTTGCGGCACCGTTATGTTATTGCCGATTGGCCGAGTTAATGCACAAGAAACATCGCTTACTACTAATCAAAACATCTTTACTCAAGGATTCTTCGTCAAAGATATTTCGCGTGATCGTGCACTCAATTAAAATTGAGGCATCGCGATCATGCACTCAGCCAAACTTAAGTGGCGCGAACAGACGCAGTAACGGTAATTTAGATAATTCACAAGTTGTATTGGTAATCGACGAAGCGATCAGCGCAGGGTTTTTAAGTTGGGGTACAACGACTCTGTCACACCGTGCAGTCCAAAGTTCGTCATTGTTTATCGGGGTTAACGGCACAGACTTATATTTGACTTTATTTCGAAGTGACTTACAACTTTAAATGCGGAAAAAACGGAATGATTCAAATTTTCGAAACGCGCTCTTGCTCCGAAAAGTGCCGGAATGCTGTTTTATGATAAATATTTAGTTTGAAGTTGCCCAGTAAACTTTCTTGTGCCTGATCGACGGCGGAAAGATTCACAATGACAAATATAGGTCTGCCTATCTGTGGGATAAACAAAGTTGAAAAATATTTTACAACTGTCAAAACAAGGCGGGTAGATTTCGCAGATACAGCAATATCTTCAAGATCAGGATCAGCCACCAATCAGCCAAACTAGTCAATTTTAATTTTGAATATGTTGATTTGGTTTATTTGCCATTGTAGAAATTAACATGCCCGACTTGTTGTCCACCCACCATTGTTTTCGTGTGAGCAAATATTATATCAAGTAAACCTATAATTTCCAGTTATTAGCCGGGTCACAAACAGCAGACATCGACTCAGAGCGCGTTTGTGCAAACCTGAACGCTCTGTCAAACATGTATAAGTACAAAAGTACTCATACAGCGCGAGAGATCGGGATGTGTTTGCTATTATTTTGTTGATATTTTCAAGTTAAGTAGTCATGTCTGTATTCCTGACAAAACACACACCATTTGCCAAACATATCAAGCGCAGATACATATTCTAGATATTCTGTCAATAAAATGGCATTGTCCGCTATTACTTTTCTAATATTTCTCGATAATGAAATTAAATACTTTCTTGTTGAATATTCAATTTTATTTCGAAACAAAGAAAGAATAAGAAAAGCAACAAACACAATTTAAAGAAACTCTTTAACGGTGGACTCTGAAAACTGTCACGAAAATTTGACAAAATTATACGTTGTCATACGTGGATTGTGTTTAGACTGAGCCTAAATGGCACCGTCCATCTATGGCCATGGTTGTTTAATCATCAACACGTCACTCTATTTTACATATCACTCTATTCAATAAGTTGACTAATAATTTCAAACGGCGTCATTGCAAATTTTGTAACACTACACAATGAATTGGATTGGCCAAAATAGAAAGAACGTCACAATGAATGCATGGAAAATTGTAGTTCTTTTGTTTGTAGCCTTATAAGAAATGTTGTGTGCTTTTTGGAACAGACAATCTAGATTGTAAAAAAGGGAAAAAATTTGTTGAGACATAATGTGCAGGCTTGTGGCCCATTGCGGCCAGCGCAATGAACCGTTAGTTTTTATGATTTGAAGATCGAACCTTTTTGGTTTTATCTCATTTTCTTATAGTTTTACCAAATTCAAATATTAGATTTTCGGTTCATTTATTTGGTGGATATAATATCATCATATATCCAGGAATTAACAAATCTTAAAAATTAAACATTAAAATAATTAAAAGAAAAAATCAAAAAATAATTAAAGTGAAAGCAGTTTTTTGAAATAATTATCGATGGCATGTATAATTTACAATGTAAAAAAGCAAACTTTTCCAGAAAGTCAGATGCCTTGCTTATTCAAAATGGAATGCTATTTTACATAGATGAAAATAATATACAATTCACCACGAACGGTTTCATAGAAATGATCACTTGCTTAACCCAAAACTCCTTGACTAACAAGTGGCCGTAAACTGCATAACATAGGGGGAACATGCTATTTGAAGGAACAAAATTTTATTTATATGGAACATACGATAAATATATATATATGTATATTCATCTTCAAAAAAATCGTGACGTCACAGTGCTACGTCACGTGCAGCCTATCGCTCTGGTTCCACAAAAACATTAACAAAAAATTACTATAAATATTGTTTTCTGAAAAGAAAAATCGACACAAATGTAACTTAATGTCGAAATGATAAAATACAATGACATGATAATGGTGAACATTTATCATTGAAAATATGTAAAACTATTACAGTTTGCACTTTAAATAAAATTATGAAGATGGAATCAATATACTGTCTGATTACACGATATGATTTAGCCACAATGTGTTATTTGTATGGCTAGTTTCAGATAAAATTATGAAAAATGGCAATTGTCACAACTTTGCTGCAATATTTGAATTTTTGTAAGATACTTCAAAACTGAAATCAGACAACCAACGCAATTCCGAATAGAATTAATAATAATATTCTGTTCTGTGCTTTGGCTCGAATACGTTTGCATAATATAAAAAAAACACCACGCGGAAAAATTATAAAGTCCACGCCGTAAAATCCCTCTCTTCTTCTTTCATGGCATTTTCAGCGCACTTGATCAGAATGGCGTTTCACACCATTTATTTCAACAATTAAATGTAGATGTCTGAGCTTAAATTATGCATTGAGGTCATAGGACCGCACTGGACCTGCGATTCGTGCTGTTGCTGTTGTTGTTGGGAATGGATAGAATGTGGTGCAATTTGTTGACCAAGATGAAGCTTCTTAAGCCTTTCATATTTGATTCGATAGGAATCTCTGTCTTGCATCACAATAGATAAGTGTTGCTTCAATTGGTTTACCTGGAATAAAATTAAAATTGGTTATTATAATTTACCAGCTAAAAGATGCAACAACAATAAGAAATTGCAAATTCATATTTCATGAAATATTATGCCTATTGCTATATCAACGGGAAAACTTAATTTGCTTTCGAAAACTTTGACTGTAAATAATTCTATAAATAACGCTCAAACGACGAAAATAATATTATTAGAATTTATTTATATGTAAACATAATGAATGTGACTTAACTTCTGGAAAAATTTCATCCAGATTTTGCATAACGTGAAGTTCATACAACATTTATCGAATCATGGTCGAGGGCACTACGCCATCTTGGCCTCTAACGATCGTTCAAGACGCCGCCAAATGTTTACTGAAAACTCGGACGCTTATATCACTGTCACACATATTGTTTTTCCGCTTCGAAAACACTTCGCGCGACTTGGAGATGTCGCATGAAGTATTGCTCAAATTGGTAATCATTAACCAAATAGATGATAGTTGCAGAAGTAGCATTGTAAGTATAACGAATGACACGGATATTTCGCCGATTATTGGGAAAATATCGCAAATGAAAATACCGTCAAATATTAAATTTCAGGACAAATGGCAGTTATAACAGAATAGGATTCAATTATTATTACGAATGGGTAAACTAAATTGAGGTTTTTTCGAGGTTTACACCACCAGTAAGGTTATCCTTCTTATCTGTGTACCGGCATCGCAAATATTTGCACACTGTTTCTAATTGGAGGTCTACAATTCATAAGAACAATCGGTATCATGTACGCTCTGTGGAAGTTGTTTGCGCACTTGCAGAATAGATATTGTAATAATTGGGTAAACTCAACTCTCGATCACCACTCAATTGCTCCCAAAATAGATTTCGAATTATGATAGGTTTAATCAACATTGCGAAACATAACTACAATACAATGAGTTTAAGTTAACTGGATAAATTTTGGATCAACGCGAAGTAGCCTGCTTGAATCCAAAGTGAAGTTTCAAACATAGAACCGTATCAATGAAAAGAATTTCCATGTTGCGAATAGGTATGGGGTCTCAGTAGATTTTTACTATGTGGATTTGGTTGAGATTTAGCGATATTGAGATCAGAATTATTACGATTTGGCGATATTACAATCACATCATTGAGCTAGATATCCCACCCAAGCAGCCCTGATTTTAATAAAGGTTTTTTACACACAGTCAGGTTGAATATTCTTGTGAAAATGAATGCAAATCGGTCTTTGCAGTTTAGTTTCTACATTTGAATATGTTTCTCACAAGTTGTCAACAGTTTTACTTACTGCTTGTGCAAAATGGCCGTTTTCGTTTCTGGCGACGCCATTATTGATTACGATATACAACATTGTCAAGGGTTGCACAAATAACAATTTTAAAAAGGCATAAAATTGTTTTTCTGAGGAATTTACCTGGCTTTGAAGTCCCATTTTTTCGTTTTCGAGGAGATGTCTTTGCATCACCCTTTTACTTCTACAACTCTGGGCGTAGCCGCGATTTTTGAGTGTCCGTCGACGTTGCTTGAGTGATGTGATTTGTTCCTTGCTGTAATTTGAGAATTATTGGTTTACTTTAGAAATTTAATACTGGCCGGTTTGATCTGTTGACAAGACAGAGAAAAGTCTGGACGTTGCATTCAAAATATCAAATTTATTCAGGTATAGAACAGGTTATCTCAGGATGTATTCATCAATGGGGCATAGTTGGCGAGCTTAATAAACCTCTTTCAGCCGAAATACAAGAACGGTCAACGTATGTTAAATGTTACAAGAGTATAGCTTTCACTGCTTGACACAGCGAGCCGACTGCTTTCCAGGGTACTCGAGTTACTGACCACTATTATTGTGGCTACCGGCTAGACAATCCATGTCCACTTAGGTCTGAAAATTATCGACACCTTTTGTGTATGTGACCGCCCAACTTTGGGGGTCTTTGAACGAACGCCGCTCACCGTTAAAAATCTTTTGTGAACTAACGTGCTTTTGAACTTTTTCTAGAATTAGGCAACATTCGAATGCAAAATAACAAATTTCTAGAAATTTTACCTCATACCACGGAGCCTTCTATTTAGTTCACGAACAGACATTGATATTAATTCCCCATCTGGCAAAATCTCTGAATCACTGTGGCAACCTGGAATTGTGTCGTTTTCGCAAATTTCGCTTGCTTCGCTCATAACTGGGCTGCTGTAAGAACTCCATGAACCTGCGTCGGTATGGTTCGCCGTTGAAATATTACATGATGGTGTGTTAGAAGCTGAATAAAGTTTTTCGTGTTTTGTCATCATCGACATTTCGGAAACTTCTGATAGTCTATACTGCGAACACTCTGGCACACTGGATGACCTGTAGGTTAGGGGAGGCGGCGGAGGGATACCAGGTGTAGAGTACGTGTTTGTGCACCCGGGCGTAACACCAGGCAGAATTGGCTGCTGCTGATATTGGGTGTAACGATTCTGTTCCATGATTCCCACTGACGATGCAACTGTGTAAGTAGAATAGTCCTGCTCTTGTTGTTGTGTGGGAGTCATTTGTGACAATGTGGCGTTTACATTAGCAAGTATTTCGTCGAATGCCTCCTCTTCGGTTGCGGTATCGCTTATACTCTGCGATTCACTGACTCTTCCCCCTTGCCAATAATTATTGTTATAACTTCCCATGTCGTGCTTTTCGCTACCATTGTTCATTTCCGGTGATGGTGTGAGTGAACCACAATTGTGGGGCGAATTCGAAGGACTTGAATGGTTCGATCCTGGCTGTTGATAAACACATCCGTCGCTCATTGACTGGTTAGTAACGGGTTCCTCTGATAGGTACGGTTCTTGTTTCACCATGGCTGGCATTTGCTGGTTCTGCGAATACGTGGTTCCGTAATTTGAGACAGTTGCCAAATGGGAGTCCATCGGCGATCGACGGGGGTTAACGAATGAGGCAACACTGTAGATTGCTAGTGATTGGGTGTCCATACCAACACTGTGTTCGTCGTCACTAATTTCGAAATCGCAATGAACCATCCGGCTGCGATTTATTGTAAAATACTGAATTATTCCACCAATGAAAACTTGCAAAAAGCTTATTATAACAATTGTAGGTATTCTGTGAAATATAAGAAAATAATTTTAATTTTTTTTCAAATCTAGTAAAACCTGGCATTCAAGTTACTAGTAGCACTAATCACTTGGAAGCATTGCACAATAACTTATATAACAGATTGGACATGAATAATTTCGCACACTGTAAATATATGAATTCCTACTTTAATATAGACTATTCCAACATAATAGTGAAAACACTGTAGGTATCTTAAATAAAACTAACTGTAAGTTTGCCACACCTGAGAAGCGTAATTTAAACCCTTCAAACCCAATTGCAACTCGATTTGCCGCGTTGCCCCCGCAAACAGCTGAGTGCTCGCTCGCTCCCGACTTGTTTGTTCAACAAGTGACGATAAGCGATAACCGGCTTTCTCAGCCAATAGAAACTACCTACGCGCTGAAGAGTATCAGCTGACTATTGAAGAGGCAATGGTGCGAAACTGTATTTTATATGTACCTCCGATTTTTTCTCGTCGACTCGTAGCACTTTCTTTGTTTTTCGTGGATTGTGCAATGTGTTTTTATCGCGAGAAAGAGAGGCCTTGATGCAACAAACTATTAAACAAACGTCGTGCACGGTCTACGGGTTCGTTTCAAATCCGCCTGCTTTTTTCTCGCCATCACGCGAGACTCTCGCTTCTACTTTTCTCTTTACTGTCATCCTATCACTTCATAATTAATGCGGTCGTTCAATGCGAACCCTGCCTGTAAGGCTGTGATAGAATCACATATATGTCAATACTTTTATATAAGGAGATCAGGTTTCTTTATAAAGTCTGATTCTATGAATGTTAAAAGCATGAACGTTAATGAAAAAACGGGTCTGATTAGACCAGCACTGGGATATTGCAAATACAAGTAGAGTAAACAAAGGTATATAAGAAAAGGATAATAAAATATGTTTTTATGTTTTATATTTTAAAGCATCCGTTGTTTATTAAGTTGTTTATTGCAACGTATTCAGTTTGCATTACTTACGAGGAGAAAATAACACGCCCTTGACACTAGTAGTGCACTATCATACGTAAACAAGTAATTACGCTGTACTGACCACTCACTCGCTGCGTAGCGTTAGACACATTAATTGATCCTTCTCGTGATGACCGCTGAATCAACAAAACATGTTGTTTTGTCCATTAAGATGGATTTATTAATACCTCGGACACAGCAAAATTGTGGATTCGAATCTCGGTACAATAATGCTCTGTAAATAATAAAAGAATAAAACAAAGAGATTTTGTTCATAATTTGTTCTTGATTATATGTTGCCACTCTTGGATCAATAATACATACCACTCGTGGCCCAATAATACATAGACTATAATATATTATTCGTATTGCGTACTGCCGACCCAGTTAACATCATATTGCCATAGGTTCGGTACAAAACGCAGTAACTATTTCGGTCAGTGACGATTGCTGATATATATATTATATATATTGCAGAGTTGCAATTTGTGAGGTTAACGAGTGTCGTTTCCCAAGAAGTATCCGTGTTAATGTCCAGTCTAAAAAAACGTCACTACCTTTGCATCGTGTTGTGACTTGAAAAATGTTTGGTGATTTGGAGATGCAAAATATAGCTTACAAAAGTCTGCAATTTTTGCTCCAATGTAACATAAATTTGATTGATCATATTTCACTTTACTTTACTGAAGTTGAAAATATTCATATTGTTGTTGTTTACGTAACTGAACAGTTTTCTTCGTCATACCAAGTCCGTACGAAATGATTATTCATACCAATTCCCGATTCCCATACTGTACCAAAGTGAGTAACAGGACGAGAAGCCGTGGCCAGTTAATCGTATGAGCAAGCCGTTTTTTGACCTTTCTAAGCACAAAAAGAATTATAAACACTTTTATTGCTATCCGACCCTAGTTGTTGTGGAACAATTTACGAAGATACTTGTTAAAGCGGAATTAATAGTTTTTTGGACTTGAAATTATATTACGACCCCACGTTTCTGTAATTTGGCATTCTGCACGCAAGACTTGCAAGATTTCGGAACCACATTCAATCTCCCGCGCTCGGTTTTACACGGTTGGATTACGGCTCTCTTGGAGTCGATTTGGTAACTTTACTGCTGAAAAAAGTTGTTTAATAATTAGCATTCATACTTTTGTTAAAAAGTAGCTTGGATTGTGGTTACGAGCATATATAAAATTTAACCAAATAATGAAGCTACAGGTTCACAATTTCCTAGACACAAATCAAAGCCGATATAAAGCTGGGGTTCTGGATCAAAATGACACGTAATTATTACTGTTTTTTGAATATCACTGACGGTAAATCTGTATTGGACACACAATACCTAGCCTCCTTATCTTAATTTAATACACACTTTATCTTCCCACAGCTCCCGTGCCGTGCGATGTTGCAATATCATTATTTTGCACACGAGTCCACTCACAACTCACATGCTTGTAAAATTGCTGTCCTTGGCCCATTTATAAATAAACTACCGTATAAATAAATATAATATCGTAATTCAACAGCTATCCATCGTTTTTTGACACAGAAATCTATGCCTGACAGATTAAAGAAGGGGGAAAGAAAAAAAATGAACTGGATTGTGGGAAGGACAATCAGAATTTGCCGTCTGACCGCTACAGAAATTTGTATTCTAATAACTGAGAAAACGTGTGGATGAATGTTGTGATAAACATGATATAAAAATTCAAAATAAGGCCTCCAACAACGTGCGTTTTCTTGTACCTTTGTCTTGAAACATTAAACATAAAATCAATTTGCTCGGCCTTGGGATGGGATAATTTAAAACCTGCGGTCAACTTGTTTTTCTGTGCCCAATTCTGCTTTTGCGCAATCACGTTGGGTATGTGACTACGCTTGGATAAGCATGTACCACGCAAAACTACTTTTGTTATAGGTATCGAGTTTGACTGTTAATGACTCGCAACGTGTCCCGATATAGAGTACATAAAGATAGGGAGTTCGTGTTTGTTTCTTTCCTTATCGTCTGTGTTCACCGCAAACAGAACCGGCGCAAGCCGGCCCGGCGTTGTAACGAAGATTGCGAAATCGCTCTGTGGCGAACTCGCTCTTCGCTTTTTGGTTGGTGATTCGCTGGTTACCAAACGGTATTGCACACGGCACCGATCTGAAACTGAGGAACAACTATTGTTGACTTGGAACGATGGTACGACTCATCTGCGACTTTCGCAAGTGGGGAATGAGCAATAAAAGCTGCCGGTTAAACAAAGTATCGCTTGCGAAATTATCACGTGTATCACGGGTTCCATTACTAAGACGGGAAATTGTATTGTTTTGGGTGTTAATATGCAAAATTTTAGTTTCAAAATATATAATAACTTGCTGCAACGATTTGAATAAAACAACTAATGATGAACCAGTTCATGATTTCCCCCAGAATTGGACTGCATAAAAATGTATGTTGAGCGATCAGATCGATGCATAATCATTACCAATAAATGTACAAGTTATTTTATGTTATCATTATCGACGCATAAATGTAGTGCAAAGCAAACCTTCTCGAAATAAATGTTGCTTGAAGCAGACAACAGCTGGGGGAGTGGGCAACTGGCACACATTCTCCACACACATGTGATCTTTTAATGTTTGCTAACAAGTATTTCTTGTTTGTGAGTGTAGTATTTAGTCGACAAATTGAATGCATTTTATTTATTTATGACTTACAGTGATGCAACACATTTTATAGGTACAGCTGTATACTTTCACGTGTAAATTTACGTATCTCGATAATAGCTTTTTGTAAATCATTCAATAAATTACAGTGAAAACTTCATGTCCTTTCGGAAGAATAGAAGATGGGGTGTGGTTACAATGCACTAAGTTGGAATCAGAAATCTGTGATCTCTGATCTCTGATTACTGCCAGGGATGCTCTTTATCTATCCATAATTTTAAAAGATACATATATGTTTTGACAAATTGTTATATACAGCACTATTCAATTTCGTGGCATTCCAGTAGATGTGAATAAATTAAAGTAGGTTTAGTTTCTATAATATTCACATATTAAGAATGTATTGATTTGCCGTAAAATGTAATCACAACACTTAATTTTGAAGTCGCTCGGCTGTTGGGTTCTAACAAAACAATTAAAATTAGAATTTCAGTATAACATAGATGAACTTTAAAAAAATTTTGCATAGTGGTGTGAACAAACTATAGTTCACAGTGTATGACAGTCTTATCTATTTATTATTTCAATACAAACATATATGCATGTGATCACGGGCCATTATCTTTACAAATGGACCTTTTGTGATAACATTTATAGCTTGCCATCAAATGTATAGTAAACGACTACAAAATGCTGTTAATTATTGACATATTGTTCTCGTTCTGCACTTCTTGTAGAGCGTTATTCCCTGTGTCGAGATCTGATTTACAAGGAAATGCCTATTTCTTCGGCATTCTGTCACAGATACAACGCATCATGACCACCAACAACAAAAATTTGCAAACGGAGTTATATGTAACACTTGGTGACCAATAATACTTTCTAATCCCGCAATATGGACAAGTATCACTCGTGTTTGTAAACGAGACGTGTGAATTTGCCGTTTGTCGCTAAATGGTTATTGATTCATTTTCAAAATTTTGCTTCGTAGCGCCATCTAGCACAAACTCGTACATTTGCCTTCGAGATCATTCATTTTTTGTCGCAATTCGTGCTATGGTTATATAATTCAATTTTAGCTCATATGGAATTCTAGTGGGTGATTGTGATTACAAATCGTTTTCACAACTACAAGTGTAGATGAAAGTTACCGAATACGTTATTTTATTGTGATTCGCAATCTTTCAAACCATGACCAAACAATGTATTAGTGGGCGGCCCTTGATAAAAGGAATGATATGTACAAAGAAATAGCTTTAGTTACTTCTTGATTAGTGCGTGAATATTTGTTAAATTAAAAGTTATTTTATTAACACAATGATTTTGATCATTTCAGTCTTATCAATCAGAAACGTGTTAATATTCTTACAAAAAATTCTGTTACAGATTGGGCTTCAGGTACAATCACGTAACTCAGCTCTTGAAAAGTAATCATTCGAAACGCCAATATACTGGCGCCAATCTTTGTTTTCGTTTTATGAGATATTGTGACAGTAAGCGGTAAACGCGTTATTTTAAGCTTCTCCTTTTTAGGTTTTCTTCTTCAACTCTATATTAAATTTTCTACAGTTATACATACTGATACCAGCATAGTCATGGTGAATACATAAAAATAGATCAAATACAATAGGAATTACATCATAAGTTTGTATTGTTCAAACGCAGTTCCGCTTTTGTTAAACCATTGAATATATGGTTGACTAATTTATGAGGATATTGTTTTCAATTCATAATATTAAAATTTCAAAATTGCTCATGCACTTGGATCGTGTAATAACCACGCTATTGAATGAAAGCAAAAATACTAGTATAATTTCATTCGCATTAAATATTCTAAAAACAGATTAACTAGTTTGGTTTTTACACATATATATATACAAACACATTATATCTATAGTGCATACTCAAAATGCATTATCAATGCATTCGAGTCACGTAGCATTATAGCAGTGCATGAATATAACTTTGGAATAGGTAACGAAAGCTTCGTCAGATAGTGAACGATCTTACCTAACGAAATCCTGGCTACAGTAGATACTACAGTTCAGCGCACATTTAAACCCCTTTTCACTCTTATAAACGGTTCAACGTTCAAGATCGACATGAACCAAATATCAACACTGACACAATTGCGTTGTTTAGAAGATAATTTTATCTTCATTCTCATAAATTGAACACAAATATGAGAATTCTAAACGCATGCAAATCCGAATTGTTATATTAAAATTTCCCAAAATTTGCTTTTGGGCTTTACCAAGTAAAGAGAAAACTGTTTGCAAAAGTTGTGGAATCAATAAGTTGAATATTAAGATTTTACACTAAGAGATAGGTACAAGAAATCGCGCACTGTATCCACTAATATGAATTCTATCCATGCAAGTTTGTCAATTCATGGCCGCATGCACGAGGTCATATATAGCACTCAGGAGCACACTCTAGCGGATGCCGCGACAAGCCAAAATGTATCACTGTTGGTTTCGAATTGCCATGTTTATCTATTTCTTTCTTCCATATGGATCCAATCTATACCAGTAAAACATATTTAAAAAACAGGCTGTATGCTTCATAAATGTATGGAAAAAATATCTAGTGTTTGCAGTGAAATGAATTCGCTTCAGAAACGATCAAGGTACTCGAAATAGTGTAAAATAAAAAAAATTCCGTGTTTCCCCGAAAATAAGACCAAGCCTGAAAATAGGACCTAACCTGAATTTTAAAAATGATTCTAATATGAGCCCTCCTCTTAAAATAAGACCTAGTCGACAGCGCGCAATTTTTTTGACTTGTCAATAACAAGAAATTACTTCTACACGTTTCAAACGATTGGTCATTTTTGAATAATCCATGTTTAGCAGTTTATTTTGAATAAAATCGTGTTATTTATAAGTAAATGGATATTGGTTTTCATATTTTGTGTACCGGTATTTGGAAATCTCGTAATTCTCTAATTTGTAATTTTGTTTTCGATAAATGCATATATATAAAAGACATCCCCCCAAATAAGCCCTAGTGTTATTTTTCGAAAGAAAATTGAGATAAAAACCTGTTTTTTTTCGGGGAAACACGGTATTACTCCTTCCACTTCGCTATATAGATTGCGAGCTGAAACTGTTGTAGTGTGTGTCGATGTGACGGTAAAGAACTCCATAAGTGGAATTATATTGATAAATGCAAAACACCAATACGTATTACGTGTATTGGCACAAATTTTATCTCACAATCTTTATTTGGATGCGAAGAAATTGGTAGGTAGAATCAAGTCGGCCACTTGTGTCGCTCATTTATTACGATATTATACATCCTATTTGAACATATAACTTTATTTATTTGTGGAGTCCACCACCACACAGTGTATAAACTGAGAGAATAAACAAAAGAGCAATGCTCAAATGTATACGTGGTATGCGGTTAAATGTATAATTCAAAGTACAAATATCGACATGATTATATAATGAATCTTTCAAAAATACTTTTCGTTAGTAATGCTCGAAGCAGTGATGGTCCATGCTCGAGTGTGTAGAAGAAAAAAACTCTGTATAAAACATTTTTGGTCAGGCACAGAGGGTTTTATATGCTTGTTATGAGAGATCAAATTTCACTCGGTTTTCTTAACCTCTGCCCAGGCGTATTGTTCGTGTGTATTGTCTTGTGAAAATTTATTTGTCGCTCATTTCCGAGTCATCGTTTGGGTGTAACAATGCTACTGTCTATAAATTAAAAACAAAGCATTGTTTTGGCAGGAATGACATGATATTTCATTGGTTTTAAAATGACTACCAGGTGCGCAACCGAGTTTATACATGGATAGTGTAAGGAAAAACTCGAGGAACGGCTATTTTTAGTAGAAAGATTAGTTAGGGAAAATGTATTACAAGAGGAGAATGACCAGCATATTCTAAATCAGTTCAAAGCTTTTCCTGTCGATAAAACAGCAGCGGATAGGGATCTCCATCGTTTATTGGTCTCGATGTGTCTGACAAGATGCTTGTAGATAATCTGCGAAAGCTCTTGGTCTAGCAAGTGACCTCTCATCGGGCAACTCAAAGGGTACGGCAGTAGGGCTCAATATTTCTGAGGATCGTTCGAAACTCACACCCAATGCTATCAATATGCAACGGAAAAATGTAAACCAATGGTCTTGTCCTTCCTATAGGAAGCGTATCGGCTTGACTGAAAATCACGCAAACCCAGTAAGAAGTGGGTGCCACATTATAGTAGAGCCGTTTTGAAATATTGAATATTGATTTAACCACCGTTAGAAATTGATTAACACGAGATTCAACGCTGCTATGCTTAGCGACAAAGCAGTTTTGTGAAAGAAAGAGTTTGTGACAAATATTTATAGTTTGTTTACAATTTATTGATGCGACGAATTGAAAAAACACGGACATATGTATATATATATATACTATTTTATGCAAGCAAATAGAACTTTGTTATTTTTTTTGTTTCATGCTAATACAAGTATTTAATAATCGCCATTAAGTTTTGTCAACAAAGTGATGGCAGACCTGTTCCTTCCTCCGATGACTCCGTGCACACCTGATCCTGGTGGTCGAAGTTCTATATCACAACAGCATAATTTTACCATACCTAACCGAGAACTGACACTCCAGACTCCTGCACCACCAAGAACGAATCCGGATGAAGATCCTACTTTGACTTGGGTTCGATCTCTACCTTCACCTTTCAGCCCATTTGACGAATTTGGTGAAGTAGCATCATTTTCACAGGACTGCACTTTTGCTCTGGCAGATCACAACGAAACTAAAGAAGAAAGCCCGTTGTCTAAAGAGAGAGGTGATTTGTATTAGTTGAATTTTAATTCATCAGCAAGTCGAGTTTGCTAGTATGACTATAAAAATATGGTATATATTCAAAGATTGGAATATTTGGAATGATATTGCAAACATAGTCAAATTTAGTGTCTTTTTAATAGCATACCTCCGGGACAATGCCACTAATTTAAAAAATATTCAACAATGTCTAAAGATTTGAATTTGATGTCCACGCTGAGCAAACGTCTACCACTTTATCCATAACACTAGTGAATTCATCATAATGAATTTTGTAATCATCAATGCTTATTGAGCCAGAATCAGAGACTAAGAAATGGGTGTGTGTTTATAAGAGGCGGTCCTCTCCTCACTCCATTTTCTTTAGCTTATTACGATAAAATTTATATTGACGGAATTTTGACTTATATAAGATAAGTACATTAAACGTTGTTTTTATTTTCAGATGTGTCAGATAAAGATAAGCCCGCGAATGTCGTGTGTGAGACTATGAAGGTGAATTTAAATAGTAATAAATTTCAATTGTTCTATAATTCATTGCACTTCTGAAAACGCAATAAATTTAACAGAATCATATATAATAATAACTACCATTACATAATTTCTGGATCATACCAATGTTTGCAAAGGTGTTAGCCGTTACGGGATGTTAATTTACATGTACTAAGGTCTCTTTTATGAAAGCAATGACTTTCACGCATAATCCAAATGAACAGCCATTGAATATGCAAGTTGAATATTTATTTTTTCAATGAACGTTCATATACAAAATTATCAAGTTGTTCCCGTGTTGAAGCGATTACTTTATTTGAAGATATTATTAGTTTTTAATGTGTATTGTGCATAATTTCATTCTATTCTAATATTGTGGTACATTATCTTGTATCCGATAAACAAATTTCCTAGTAAACTTAATTGCCGACTGTAGTTCTTTTATTGTGTCTTACTTGCTTTTTACTACTTTCAATCGAATGAACGCCCAAGAGACATTATGAAAACTCATACGTTTATGTATATACACATATATATTCAGCTCATACTGCCATCACAATTTTATTTTTAACAGAAAAGAAAAGAAAATTCATTTTCAACTTCTCATGCGGTTTTAGTAGAAGACAATATAACAGACAAAGCAAATCTTAAAGTTTATCAAATTGGAAAGCAAAATCCAAATTTTCATTCCGTACCCAAAATTGAATACGGTTCGACATCACCGTCGCAGACACCAAGCATAGTTATAGATCTCACAGAAGACGGCAGCGGCAAAGAAGCTCCAATTAAAAAAATTTCTGCTGAAAGAGCTGCAATCAGAGAAGTTTTATCTCCGTCAAGGAATTCTCGAAAAAGAGCGCTGGAGACAGCTTCGCCGAGCGCTCATGACTCTGTGAAGAAACGAATTATTGGGACGACACCTAGTGGCAATGTTATAGAAGTTAGGGAAACATTTACTCCAAACGAAAGGTTGGTAGAACAAGAATGTTAATAACATAAAAGCGATGCTCAAATTCATGCGCACGGAAGTCGCGCACAGGTGCCGGGAAAGCCTTAGCTGCGCACCGACGTTGCCGAAAATATTGACCGGCAACCGTGACGCTATAAAATGTTTCCATGAATTGATATAAAACAGCAACATTTTTGGTCAAAGCCCCATAAGATTCGAATAAATTTAAAAAAAGAGTAAAAACAGTAATATTCTTCTAGTGCCCCCTCCTCCATCTTCTAGTACTCAATTGATTGGTTCATTAGTGCAAAAGCATAGGTTCATTTTGTGTCTAATAAAGTGCGAGGTGAAATAATAACGTACTTCAGTTTCTCTATTACCCGAAAAATTATTCATTCACTTTTTATAGGATCTTTGTTGGACACAAAATGGACGTATGGATCATTTTGTTATTTTTATTATGTTCTAGTTAAAGCTTGTTGTTGTCGCTCTATGGCTATGCCTATGATTCAATTTCATTCCGAAGTTTTGTGTGGTGGCGTCATCAAAATTAAAAATTGCATGTTGTTCTCTTGTTTATATTCTAGAGCTTCCTCTGTTGAAAGTTATTGCAGTACATCATCTGATATGGTATTATCACCTTCTGTATGTCTTCCTAATCATCGTATGATGAGAGATATTGTACGAAGATATTTAAAAAGAAGAGATGAAATGAGAATAATTATTCTTCATGCAAAAGTTGTCCAGAAATCTTACGGATCTGAAAAAAGGTATTTTTCATTCTGTTACATGTTGAACACTGCAGCATGAGGCCATGGTGTAAAATGACTAGATTCTGTCTGATTCTTAACTTACCCAATTTATTATGCTCTGGTTAGGAAGGTCGGTTTTTGTTTGCCTGAACAAAAATCGGATCCGATATGTCTAATCGGAAGTGCCCGAATAGCAAACCCAATATATTAATTATGTCTCCTCGCCAGGAGATTATAAATATGGAATAATGAAAAAATTGAGCAAACATAAAACAGACGATTGAAATTTTCAGTCAAAATTTTTTACACGCACCCAAAAAATAAGAATTTATCAAAATTATTTATCTTTGTGCTTTAATGAACGCAAACTTCAAAGATATTCATGTCACTTCATGAAAAACGGTTCATAACAGAAGAAGTGGCCACATAACTCTGCTCTTTTCATCTCAAAGTGCCACTTATTCTATACCGTTGATCCGAATCTTTTTATTCTCTCAGATTTTTTTGTCCTCCACCATGCATTCGTTTATTTGGAAGTGGTTGGAAAACCAAACAGAGGAGAAAAATATCATCATCTGCTTCGTCGTCATCACCAATGCCATCACCTGCTGCAATAGGTTCGCCAGCGCCATCTACCGTCACTAAAGCATCTGATGTTTGTGCTTTCATAGGAGTAGGAGGCGGAGACTTGCAACAACTTCACTTGGACACAACAAAGGTTAAATATATCTTTAAACTAGCAAAATAAAATTTAAGATATAGAAATATACGCTCTTCCTTCAAGCACGTTTTAACGTGTCAAAAGAAATGCCGATTCTCTCATTCACATCTACATCTACTTTTAGAATTATGCCGCAGCAAGAAACCTTCACACACCTGATTCAGACAAAAGAAAACACTTTCAACTTCACGTTAAAATGTTTTATGGAGATGGATCTGAAATTGGTAGATTTCTCTCGCAACGAATAAAAGTTATTTCTAAGCCAAGCAAGAAAAAACAGAGCGTCAAAAATCCGGAATGTGAGACAGCTTTGATCTATCATTATTTTTCCTAAATTCCTAAATTTCCTGAAAATCTATACAATTGGTGAGATATCTTAAAGGATAGATAAAACGTAAACGACCAAAATCAGCATGATATAGAATCATAAATAAGAAAAAATTGCTTTTTATTCGCCAATTGCACTATCTTACTCTGATCGTACTCTGGCGATATGCATAATAACAGTGAAGACAACTAATTGCATGAAATAAGCTGCCGAGGAACATGCATTTGCTCGAATACACTCTTTGTACTAGTTCGAATATTATAGGTAATTGGAGATTGATACACATAATTTTATTATCTTACAAGTAAATGTAAACAAAATATATACATTTTGATACCAAGGCATATATTGGTGAAGTTGATAATGAACACTGAATAATGAAATCCTTATTTGTGACTGGCTTATTTACCCATTACCGAACGATCAAACTTTTGTTATTGTATTTCAGTATGCATTGCATCTGGAACAAAAGTTTCGTTCTTCAATCGCTTGCGATCTCAAACAGTTTCAACTCGATATCTATTTGCAACAAGACGAGGATATTGCGCAAGTTCAACACAGTGGGGAGCATTTTCAATATACCTAGGTGTGTTATTTGTTTTTTAGAGCATAGATAGCATTTCACCTATTATTGTTTTCTCACTGATGAATAGCAACTTGATTTCATTCGAACAGACTTTAGCAAAGCCACACTGACATGAGTCCCAAATTTGAACATATTTTCTAAGTCATCTTGTAAATCTACCTCTGAAAAATCTCTATGTTACCAGGTTGAACCAACAACGTCTATAATTCTGGATAAAAAATCCGGTCTTTCTAAACCGCTGGTACAGAGTCTTATTTGAATTTCGTAAACAGAGACAAATGGAATGCGAGTAGACCCCTGAACATTCAATTTTTTTCGTAATTTGTTATATTCAGCAAAAGAAGACGAAGATGATAAAAATAAATTTGAATCATTAGACGGATATATTCATTACGGAAATCCTGTAAAACTAGTTTGTTCCGTCACCGGGATTGCACTGCCGAGAATAGTAAGTGATAAATTCAATTTAATAAGTAATCAGAACAATATGATTCAAACACATAGTAATTATTTGAAAACATCATTTTTCTCCTATATTTAAAATGAAACTAAGTAACTAGAAAATTAGAATTGCGAAACCCTAAATCGAACTCACGCAAAAATAGATGGTTTGGTATATCGGTTCCGGCATAGGCTCCTAAGAGCAACGTAGCCTCTTTCAAAGATTAGTGGTATAACTAACCCAATTAAGATTTTTTCCTCTTACAAGTAAGAAATTTGCTTTCAATTATACTAATGAGACAAAATTCTCATTGAATTTACCTTATATCAATAATTTCTCAAAAATGTCTTGTCCCCCTTTTTTCTTGTTAGTATAGATATGAAATTCGTGTTAAAATGGTTAAAGTAATCATATGAAATAGGATTCATGCTATGTTCGAAGTTACGGTAGATAAGATGCTTTAGGTAGGGAAATATTTAGAGTATTCACATGAAGTGAGATTCTTACTATTAAGAAAAGTAGGGGAAACGTAGAATAGGATTGAGCCGAGCATGGTACAAATGGGATGAAACGATATTTTCGACCTGGTCGATAAATTACCATTAGGTAGTCTCAAACGCCGAGATTAAGTATTCATATATAGGATTCGATATTGTGATAATAATCTAGTAATCCACAACGTATTTGCAGTTTTCAAAGTACTTTATCTCCGGCAGGTAATAAGAAAGGTCGACAAGCAAGATGCAATTATTGATACGGATGAACCGATATCACAGCTTCATAGATGTGCAATGTTTCTACATAACACAAAACGGCAATATTTATGTCTCTCTCAGGATAAAGTCATCGCTCATACAGTAAGTCAGATAAGAAATTAGTTAGACAAAGCCAATATTAGTTTACAAACAATAGCAAGTACTTGGAGTAAGTATGGTGATTTACAGACTATAATGCGCACCGTATTATAAGCACATTGTCAATAATCAATGGTACGTAAAGTATACAGTACTTGTTTTTATGACAACAATGGGAGAACTTCATGTATTAGCTTGAATAAAACAAACCGATTTTGATGAAATACTTCCCACCAGAATTTCGTCTAGGGCAGGGGTCGGCAACCTTTTGTCGCTCACGGGCCAAAATCAAGGTTGCAAGTCATTAGCGAGCGCACATATTTTTAGAAAGTTGAAAATTCGATCGGATGCTACTTTTTATAATGAAAATCAAGCAGTGATACATCTCTCGAATAGAATATAGATTTATTTTCTCATTGCATCTCATAAAATCCCATTTGAATATTTTCAGCTTTTCTGCGTTTTGTTGCCATTTGCTTAATTATAATTAAATTATATGCTCATTAAACGAGTAATTGTGAATTATATAATTGTTAGGTTATAATATAATTTAGTCTAAAGAATATATTCGCCAAAACGGATGTTTTGTTACTATAATTTGGTGAAGCGTCGCGTTATTAGCGTGAAGCGTCGAATTATAGTGCTCCGCGGGCCGTAGGTTGCCGACCCCTGGCTTAGGGCAAGGTATTTCGAAATTTGCTGCTTGTAGAATATAGTTGATAGATATGAAATCGCTGGCAATTTTATGCTTCATTTCTCGCAAAAACCTTTACTCCTATATGATGTTTAATAAAGCTTTAATTTCCAAAATATAAAAATTCATTGTTATTTTACCTTCAATACTAAATATTTACTTGTTTAACAACGACCAGGCAACACCGAACTCTCGCAATGGCAATATGGATAGACTGAATGATGGCTCTTGCTGGACTATAATCTCTACTGAGAAGGCCGAGTATTGTTGGAGCGATAGTGCTTTACATATTACAAATAGCATTGGAGTAACCCCCGTTCCCGTAGTGCATTCTTTGCAGGTAACTGAAAGTCATTTAATACATACTTATCATGTTGTAACGGAGATGAATGGCGTGTATATACTGTATAAAAAATATAGCGATAGCCAGATTTGCGTCGTTTTATGCGTGTAATAAATACGTAGGCAACCAAGTGTTTTCTATTTAGAGTGCTGCTTCTTAATTAATTTTTTAAATCTAAATGTTCGAGCAAAGTTATAGTTGAAGCATTGTCCTTCCAAAATAGATTGATTTAAAGCAAGCTATGTGCCACTATTTCCCAGTAAACTATATATTCGGTAAAGCTGCTCTTTAGGATGTTGAGGAGCGCTAGATGCTTCCAGTCACTTATTTCCTTTTTTTTTCAATTGTATTTTTCTGTTGCCTTGGTTGATTCACACTCCCGGGCTTTTTATTAGTTTCCTTGATGACTCCAACAGCAACAGTCTGTCTACTTCTACAGATCGAAAGCCTGGTTTATTAATCAAGCGATTTTGTTTACTAATGAAATCCTTGCGGTTTGGCTGGGCCCTTTCGGTATATAACGATCGAATGAAGTTTGTAATAGTGTCATATAATTTTATATTATATCATAATGTTTAGAACGAGAATATCGGTCAGAGACCGAAGACTTATCAATCGAAAGTTAGGGGATCCACCAAAACAGCGCTCTTACTCCATAGTGACACCATGTGTCACATCACTAATTAATTAATAACTCGCTAATTATACAACATAATTCATCTAAAATCGATAGGCTTTTTGTCCGACATATGATGAAGGCACATGCAAAATCTGGAGCAGATTCAATTTCGCTTTCGTGAGATATCGCTTGCATCTAACAAACAAACAGACAGACAAACAGACGAATACCTTACAACATACTTAGCGATTAAAATCGATAAGTAATAATGGATACTGAAACAAAATTCTTCCATTTTTATATAAATTACAAATATATCTTTTCAGATTAACGGCGGGGGAGAAATGGCAATGGTTGAATTAATCGGTGAAAATTTTACTCCAAATTTGACGCTATGGTTTGCGACGGTGGAGGCGAATACAATGTACAGGTATGAAATAAATAATTGTACATAGTAAAGTCGGGGAAAAATTACCATCGACTCTGACTCTGGGTTAGAAAAATTAATTAATTAATTTCCTCCCCCGGATACGGATAATAAATATTTTGACTCCCTCTCCAGATCGAGGTACAAAAAAAATTGAGAAAATCAGGTTTTGATAGCAAAAACTCGGGCGTGGGCAAGTCTTGCTTTGAGACCGCTATGAACGTCTAGTATAACATACTTTGATTGAAAATTTTGAAGCCTCACATCACCATTGAAGGTATGAAATTCTAAATCTGTGGCATTAAGATTCTTGACTCCGACTACCGGCACCGGGGAGTTTGAAACTACGATTTCTTACTATGCCGTGTTGCTAAAGGTCAATACTCTTGCTCGATCTCCTAAATGCGCTAGTATCGAAGTTTGCGAAAGAGTACAGAACTTTGCTTGTAATACATGGGTGTGCTGCTCACAAAAAAAAAATATTTTTCAGGTGTGAAGAATGTCTAATCTGCGTCGTACCCGAGATCGATAAAATAAAGCCGGATTGGAGATATGTGAAGGAACCTATCAAGGTTCCGCTTGTTCTTACACGTGATGATGGTCTTTTATATCCAACACATATTGATTTCTATTATACGCCAGAGCCTGGTCCAAAAGACAATCCAAATCCAACTATAAGGGAAATATTACGAAGTAAGAAATTCATTAACGGTTTATAAAACGGCTGTGCGCTACATTGACCGACGACGGTCTTTGTTTCGATGCTATACTG